GGAAATTCAATCACCATAAAAGTCCTAGAGGAGAACATAGGCAGGAAAAATCTCAGATATTCCATGCAGCAATATTTTCACCAATATGTCCCCTAGAGCAAGGGACAAAAAGGAAAGAATAAACAAATGGGACTTCTTCAAAATAAAAAGTTTCTGCATGGCTAAAGAAAACATCAGCAAAATGAAAAGGAGCCCATTGTATGGGAAGATGTATTTGCAAATGATACCTCAGAGTTTGATCGCCAAAATATATAAAGAACTCACAGGCCTCCACTCCAGGAAGACCCCCAATCCAATTAAAAAATGGGCAAATGACCTGAACAGAACTTCTCCAAGGAGGACATACAGAAGACCCAGAGTCATATGAAAGGATGCTCAGCCTCACTAGCCATCAGAGAGATGTGAATTAAAACCACAATGAGATACCACTTCACACTGGTAAGAATGGCCATCATAAACCAATGAACAAACAACAAGTAGTGGGGAGGTTTGGAGCAAAAGGAGCCCTGGTACATTCTTGGTCAGAATGCAGACTGGTGCAGCCACTGTGGAAAACAGTGTGGAAATTCCTTAAAAAGTCAAAATGGGACTGCTTCTTGACCTGGCAATTGCACTGCTGGGAGTATACCCTAAGAATCCCAAAACAGCAGTTCAAAAGAACCTATGTGTCCCAATGTTCATAGCAGCACAATTGACAATAGCCAAGTGCTGGAAGCGACCTAAGTGCCCATCAGTGAATGAGTGGATCAAAATACTGTGGTACATTTACACGATGGAGTACTACGCAGCAGAAAGAAAGAAGGAGCTCCTACCCTTCAGGACAGCATGGATGGAACTGGAGAGCATTATGCTACGTGAAATAAGCCAGGTGGTGAAAGACAAATACCCTGTGATCTCACCTATAAGTGGAACCTAATCAACAAAACAAACAAGCGAGCAAAATACAACCAGAAACATTGAAATAAAGAACAAACTGACAGTAACCAGAACGGAAGGGCGAGGGAGATGACGGGGGAAAGAAGGGAAAGGTTCATCAAGGAACATGTATAAAGGACCCATGGACAACGCCAAAGGGGGGTGGGATTGAGTGTGGGAGGTGGGGGTGGGTGGGGCGTGGGAAAGTGGTGGGGCGAAAATGGAGACAACTGTACTTGAAGAACAGTAAAAAAAGAAAAAGAAAAAGAAAAAAATCGCAGCCCTGGCTGGTGTGGTTCAGTGGATTGAGCACCTGCTCGTAAACTGAAGGGTCACTAGTTTGATTCCCATTCAGGGCACATGCTTGGGTTGCGGACCAGGTCCCCAGTTGGGGGCACACAAGAGGCAACCACACATTGATGTTTCTTTCCCTGTCTTTCTCCCTTACCCTCTCTCTAAAAATAAATAAATAAAATCTGTGTTTATTTTTAGAGAAGGGAAGGGAGGGAGAAAGAGAAGGAGAGAAACACCAGTGTACGGTTGCTCTCACACGCCCCCTACTGGGGGCCGGGCCTGCAACCCAGGCATGTGTCCCTGATGGGGAATGGAACTGATGACTCTTCGGTCCACAGGTCTGGTGCTCAATCCACGGAGCCCCACCAGCCAGGGTGAAATCTGTGTAACTTTTAAATAAACAATGCATTTCCTTTTCACCTAACTCAGGCATTGGGAGTTACATTTTCAGCGATGCGCAAAAGAGCCCCAAATCTGTTTCAGAACAGCATAGCCTGACGTTTTGTTACACTTTGACATTCCAAAGCGTATGTTATCACAGATGCAAAAAGACAATAGACAGACTCAAAATTAAGGTAAAGATTGACTTTTGTCGAGGAAGGTTCTGGCCTAGGACATGACTACCCACCATGAACTGCTTTTAGTTAAAAACTTCCATTTCAGATGATGCTATGTGGTTACTTTGTTCTCTGAGCTTGTAAGGTGGCCATGCAGGCCTCCCTGAGCTTGTCAGGTTTAGTATGTGGCCCCTTTTTGTTCACAATTCTGAACCTGGCAACACTGAAGCTAGGTTTCTTCAGTGCCTCAGTGCCTGGAGGTGACTGTGGGAGGTGACTGTGGAGATTGCTCTCCATTGCCAAGGACTACTGTCACCCTAAATACTTCTTATACCTGCCTTAGGGTACTTATTTTAAGCATGTCCACTGATTTAATCTTTTGACACGTGGATCAGTGGTTTTCTTGGAAGAGAAAGAGAAGCATCCGTGTGTGAGAGAAACATTGATCAGCTGCACGCCCCCAACTGAGGACCGGGCCCACAACCCAGCCCTGTGCCCTGACTAGGAATGGAACTGATGGGACACACAAAAGTTGAAAAATACTAGTTTGAGGTAATAGTCCATACACTTAGTAGTTATTGTATATAAAACACTAGTGTTCCAGGAACTGAAGGGTATGACCCATCCTGACTCCAGGAGACCACAAGCAGTTCTACTTTGTGCCCCAGGAGGACTGCAAGCAGTCAAGATGGTATCTGAGTCATTGTATGAGACATCCACCACCTAGGACACATAGAAGACCACCTCCCAGGACACAGAGAAATACCACAGCCCAGTACACAGATAAGGAATCACATGTCAACAGATGAAAGAATTCTGCAGCTTTTTATGTGATTAACCTTCTCCCTGAATTCCAAACTCCTTACCTACACTTTTCTACTCCCTATAAGAAAGGTCCATTTGAAATGGAATGTAAGACAGTCTGTTAGGGAACATAACCCGACATCTTCTCAGATTGATGGCCATCTGAATAAAGTGCCCATAAGATTAAAAAAATAAATAAAAAAATAAAAAATAAATAAATAAAATCTTTAAAAAAAAAAGAAGTGGAATTGCCCATGGTTTCCCAATAATCTGTGGCACCCTCCCATCAACTGCCTGTTTGTTTAATAGATACTACTGCCACTCATTCCTAAAGTTTCTACTTACTTTTACACATGAACAAAGGAGTTAACAATAGCATTAGAAATACATCATTGGCATGCCTCTTATTTTTTCCAGAATAACTCAGGATCATTGCTTTATGAACTCTGCTGAAACCAAAACATCAGTAAGCCTGTAAATAATTTAGGTCATATCTCAGCCCTCTTGGTTTCCATCTGAGCCTTCAATGGACTCTTGTTCAGTTCCCTATAAGTGAACTCGTAATTAGTGTTCCACTTCTCATGATTGGTTTTCTGGACAGATTGAACTCTGTGCATGCCAAAAGTTAATCCTCAACCTCAGGAGATATCGACTGACAGATGCACTCATTTGCCTAGAGAGACTGTAAAATACGTATATCTCAAAATTTTGCAGATTCCACACCATCTCCTTAATCTCCGGAGTAGAGAAACAATTGAAAAAGAAATGGAAAAAGAAGACAAGTTAGGTAAAATTTACCTTTTCAATCCAAACACATTTCAAATATATGTCATTAATATTCCTGACGCAGCCCTGGCTGGTGTGGCTCAGTGGACTGAGTGCTGGCCTGCGAACCAAAGGGTCCCTGGTTCGATTCCCAGTCAGGGCACCCGCCTGGGTTGCTGACCAGGTCCTCAGTGTGGGACGCACGAGAGGCAACCGCACGTTGATGTTTCTTTCCCTCTGTTTCTCCCTCCTTTCCCTTCTCTCTAAAAATAAATAAATAAAATCTTTAAAAAATAATCATGATGTAAGTTATTGTGAAATCCTTACAGTTTTTGAGAACACGAGGGCCTTGAAAATAAAGATGGAAAAATGGCTGTGGTAAGCACATTGAAATAAATTGCTCTTGACTGCATGCTTGGTGCTCAGTTAGTACGCGTGATATAATTGAAATCCATGTCCCTAGAAAGAGACAGTCATCGAAACCAACATAAGCAGCATTGGAGATGCTCTAAAATCTTTGAAAGTTTTACCAGTTACTGGATAGATCGACCCTCTCTTCCTACATCGGGGACTGTTTGGAAGACATAATTTTAAAAGGGTAATGTTGTTTATCCTATTGGTTTCTATTTTGAAATAAATGCCACCTTAAATCCTCTGCGGTCAAGCACAACGAACTCTGGCAAAATGAAAAGTAAACCAAATATAAGCACAAATAAAACAGAAAGATACTTTGAAATTATTCATATCTGGGTATCCGTAGGAATAACTCATTTTTATGGAACTAGATTTTAGTTTGCAGTACCTATTCAGCCATTTAAAAATTTATTTTCCTTTGGTCTTTGCAAGTAATACAAACATTTATTTACATGTATTCATATATCATCTATAAAACTGCATCTAACCCTATGATGTATTTATATGTGTTGTGATATAATTATATATATTTTATAATACACATTTTCTGATATACATGTTGATATACCATATAATAATACATAATATCGATACTATATAATGATATAATGTGTATATATATATTCTTTAATCCATTTTTGCACTCTTTAAGTGTGGAAGATACACACAGTTTTTTTCCAGATCAATAGTCAACAATACAAGGTCTCCAAACCCTAGGGTAAATGGGCCATGTGGCAAATTAGTTGTAAAACAGCACTACATTATATAGCAAGTACGTAATGTTATAAAACCTGAGATGGTCTGGCTATTTAAAACTGTGCATGATTGACTCTTCTCGTGTAATATTGCCGCAGTCAAAGCCACATTTGCACAACAATTTTGGCAAGGAAGAGAATTCTTTATTTTGTCTCAGTGTTAGTGTAAAATTTATCTAACTAGTTAACTTATTTTGATTCCTTTGACATGTAGTCTCATTTCTGTTTGGAGCTGCCTGTTTATGACAAATGAAAACCAAGAAATGCCAACAGCAATCGCTATTTGGTTTTACAGGTATTTTCTTGAAGTGAAATGTTTTATTCTTAAGTCCATAGAAACAAAACGAAGATAGTCATTTATGATAGTTTTTCCATTTTGAAAGATTTCATTTCTGTTACTCGTCATCTTTATTGTGTTTAAGAGGAGGGCCACTAAATGACGTGAATCGTCAGAAGTTTTCAAAATGCTAATATATCCTAATTGGCAAGACCAGTTTCATGGGTTTTCTAAGGATATAAACAGGAAGTTACAGAATATGTATAAAGGGAATCTCAGAGCTCTGCTATCCAGCTTCATTACCACTTGTTCTTCGTCCTTTTGAAAGGTAAGGATTTTATATCCAGTTGTTTTGTGGAAACTTATCTTTCCACTAGAATTGAAATGTACCAAAGTTAGTCGGAATGCAACATTTCTTAGAGATCGTGAACAATCTGGGGCATCACATGGCTGAGGGAGAGTATTTTGCTTGAAAATGACGTAATGGCTGGTGAAGATGACATGTAAAGGAAAGCCAAAATTGAAGCCTGACCACTTCCAGGAGTACTTTCCATCCCTGACAATCATTTTACCGCATCGCATGCTATATTCTTCAAGTTCTTGTCCATTGATGTATCGGGGCCCAATTTCCCTGCACTGTTGTGCTCTAAGCAAGGCAAACCATTGCTGTTTATACACGTGTGATAACCATTCTGAAGGTATCACAGCATCTCGCTCAATAACTCTTGTGGAGGCCAGGTCACAGATGATATGCTGGAACCTCAAGTTTTTAAAAACCGACTGAAATGCTCTGCCTCGTTTGGTTTCAAGGAAGGCGATGCAGCCGGAACATTCTCTGTGCCTGGAAAACCAGTTGTTCGCATGAACTACGAGCTCTCTTATGGATCCTTTCCAAGCTGGGTTAAGACGAAGGAACATCCACTCTTTAAGTGTGGTGTACACATCTATTTCCTTTTGCATTACTAATAAATTAGAAGAAGCAATGAGCAGATTCATGAGATCTATTCTGAGTCCTTTGTAAAGCTCAACACTTGGATGTGTCATCAAATTGTGGAGAAGCCATTCAAAGCACCGTGTCTTCACAGAATCCGAACTATAGGTTTCTGCTGCTGCGTAATAGCCACAAACAGTTTTCGCGTCAATTGTGTCCTCCATGGTCTGCTCACATTGCCGAATTAAGTCCTCTACTTGAAGCAGGTGTGCTGTTGCCAAAACTCCTAGAACTTGCAGGGGCTCCCTTATGACATATTGGTCCCTGTACAACGAGCCTAGCACAAAGTGTAGGGATTCCGCATCTATATTCTGGTCATTAATCTGCAGCTCAATAATATCGTCGTGAGAGCCTTCCCAAGAACCTCCAAACCTCATAGCAAAGTAGCCCGACTGACATAAAAACTTTTTGTGTAAGCGCCATACTTTCCCCAGAGCACGGACTTTAATGTCACTGGTTTCCCCACTCAAAAATAAAGTTTGGTAAGCACACTCAGATGCGATCTTAACTTTCTTACCATGGTTTGGTGTGACGGCGTGCTGTAGCTCCTGGTCCAGATCTAGAGACCTGGGGCTGTCCTCAGACTCTGGGCCCATGGACGGCCTGCTCCGCTTGCGTTTACGGTGGCCCGTGACATAGCTGGGGCCTGCTTGGGCTTCTGACTGATGCGGATCAGCTAGGGCTGATTCTCTGCATGTCAGGATCCGACTGCCCACGGACCCCATAGATGAAGACTCTTAGAGCCCCCAAGGAGACTGTTGAAGAGACTTAGTTGCCATGGCGTTGCTGGGTCCTGACACCTCCGCCTAGGCCCTATTCTCACTGGGACCCTATGACACAGTCCCACACGTCACAGAGGAGGCCCGGCATTCTTCATCGTTCGCCCCGCCCCTCAATCCCTTTGGCCCCGCCCCCTGCCTTCAGTCCCCCTTGGAGCCTGGCCTCTTGCCTGAGCGCCAGCTGCAGGTTTTCCCTGAGAATGTTTCTCTACGAGGGAAATGACAGAACCAAAGTCTTTTGGATCCGAGGGTTAAGTACTGCAACACATTCACACACTCCCAGTACCAGCGTATGAGGGAATGCGGTGTCCGCAGTACTGGATACAATCATTTACCCACAACTCGTAGCAATTTAAAAGGTGCACAGTGGTATCTCATTTTATCTGTCTTTGATTACTACAAGTGCGGGGAGGGATTTAAAAAACATTCCAGTAAGCTACATCTTTATAGTCTTTGCAGACTTCTGAAAGGTTTACATATGTTTTCTCCTCGTGGATTGCTACAAGCATCTTTTAACAACTTTCAATTGCCATTTACTTTTTATGGAGCTCTTGTCTGTAAACATGTTCATTTTTTGAAAGATTTCATGTATTTAGTTTTAGAGAGAGGGGAAGGGAAGGAGAAAGAGAAGGAGAGAAACACATCAATGTGTGGTTGCCTCTTGAGCTCCCCCCCCTACTGGAGACCTGGCCTGCAACCAAGGCCTGTGCCCTGAATGGGAATGGAACCAGCGACCCCTTGGTTCACAGCCCATGCTCAATCCACTGAGCCACGCCGCCAGCCAGGGCCAATATGTTCATTTTTAAGAAGCCGGATCAGATTTTCCAAATATCGGTTTTTGCATCTGTGCTTAGAAAGCCTTTCCTTATCTGCAGTTAGATAAATATTGTTCTGTATTTCCTTGCTGAAATTCCAGGGTATTATTTAATCCTTTTTAACTTGTAAATATTAAAGTTTAAAGCATTTGGGAACTCTCATCATTTCAAGTGACAGAATCAATATACAAACGAGAATGTACTTTATAGGACAAATTTTGACAAGTAGAAAAGCACGCATACATGTGTAGGTATGCACAGGGAAGCTACTGAAAGTAGTAGACAAGATTCCACCATACATGACCTTTGGATATTGTTATTACGGGTAGTATCAGAATGAAGCCCACACACCAAGTACAGTGGGGCCTGTGTGCAGTGAGTGACAGGCTACGTGACATTCTCCATCCTTCTCAGCTGCAGATTGTGTGGGTCTTGCTTCCTCTTCATGCAGTGCCAGCTCCCTTACTTCAGCCCAAAGCAAGACAATTCCTTTCCCTTCCAAAGAGTAGGAGTGATAGGTTTGGACAAAGACAATGAATTGTCCCAGAGTATTTTTCCAGAATGACTTTTGTCTGTCTCAGTCACTATCAGAACCCCAGCTTTGGAGAAGACCTCAGAAGAGATGTGCTGAAACCATCGGGCCTGAGGTCTACTGTCAGGACTTATCCTCTGAATCAAGAAGTTGTCAGGATCAACTTTGGAGGCCCTTTCCAGAGAAGACAAATGCATAAATTAGTTTTCAACGCAAGGAAGGTGAAGTTCCCCTGTCTTTGATACAGGGGCAAACCCTTAGAGTGACCGCTTCCCCCAGACAGCTGATGCCTGGGAACTGGGGCGTGACAGTCTTGCTTCTGAGCCTCGCACCACTTACAGCCAGGAAAAGCTTTCATTTTTAGGGTCCAGCTGCTGGAAGGAACCAAGAAAATACAAAGAGGCTTCCAGCAATATCCCTTTGGAAATTGTCTCTTGGTCAAGTGTCTTAACTTCCTGAGCATAGCAGTGATCATTTAGTAGATCTGAAGAATCTAGAAGCCAGCAAGGAAAAGGCAAGTGTTTTTTCCAGTTATGTTAAGATGTAGTTGACATAAACACGGTATAAGTGTAGGGTGTACAGAATAATGACTTCACAGACACATATTGCAAAATGATTACTACGGGTAAGTTGAGTTAGCATCCATCACCTCTTACAGTCACTGCTTTTTTCCTTGTGATGAGAACTTTTAAGAGTTACATTCTTAGCCACTTTCAAATGTACCATGCAGCAGTGTTAACTACAGTCATCATGTTGTGCGTTACATTCCCAGCACTTATTTATCTTAGAACTGGAAGTCAAAAGGTACCAACTCCCATTACAAGGCAAGTAGTTTTGATGGGTTTCAATAAAACACATCATGGCATAAAGCCCAACAGACTCAGAACTGAAAACTAATTCCAAATGCCATATGATCCTGTTACAGGGTGCAGCCAAGAGGGGGGATCCCAAATAAGCATTTGAAATGGGGTCCAGAACTCAAGGTGTCCAGGAGATTTTAAGGTGTCTTCACCCCTTCCCCCACAGGTGTGAGTTGGGGGGAAGGGGCACCCAGAGCAAGAACATGCAGGGCAGCTTTGCAGCTAATCCATGGCGTGGTCATTTAACATACCTATAGCCTTTGGCTGGTTGCTTAAATATGCTAAATAGCTATGGCCAGGCTCAAGGCCAGGGGGATGGAAAGGGATCTCCCCCCAAGATGTGACTGGGGGGCAGCTTCCCTGAGTTACAGCGCCTGCGTGGGAGCTGGGAGAAGATTGGCTCCATGACATGGGGTGACACCTGCCCAGACCCATGATGGCGACCAGAAAAGCTGGAGAAGACAGCAGATGGAGGGCAAGTGTGCCCAAGTGTAGGAGGAGTCAGAAATGGGGCTGCAGAAGAAGATTGGCATGGGGATTTAAACCCAGACACGGCAGCCATTGAGGGAGAACCATGCGGCCTTGATAGAGTGGGGACTCTCCCTTCCCGCAGTCCTGAGAGAGAGAACCACGCGGCCTGGACAGAGTGGGGACTCTCCCTTCCCGCAGCCCTGAGAGAGGACCACGTGCCTTTGCCAGAGTGGGGACCCCCCCCACCCCCGCAGCTTTAGAAGGAGGAACCACCACCTGGTTTTAGCAGAGATCCCGGCGACTCAGCTGAGGGTGCCAGGAACCCAGGGAGGTCTCCCAGTCGAGATGGAGTATTAACTGGGAATAACCAGAGGACTGCCTGAGCCATGGACTTCTATTTCCTTTCCTGAGATACGGTACTCTGGACTGGGCAAAGGGGGAATGAAGGAAGGACTGTGTCTGTTTGTGGGTATTTTAAGGGACTTTGGGATTTTTGATGAAGACATTAGGTCACTACTTTAAGTTTGTATAGCATTAAATAAACATTTCCTTTCCTGTTCACAAATCTCTGGCATTGAGAGACGTCTTTCCTCTGGCGGCGGACATAACGGACCTGGGGGCTTCTTTCAATAATAGTATATCGTCCCAGGCCCCCCTTGTTTGTTCTGTAACAATCCCACTCATATGTGGAATCCACTGAAGAAAATTAGCTGACGGACAAAATAAGTAGAGGCACGGGTGCATGAAACAGACTGACAGATGTCAGAGGGAGGGCGGGTAGGGGGGACTGGAAGGGATTAGCTAAAGAACACATGTGCATATATGAGCATCCCAGGGATACAGACAACAATGTGGGGAAGGCCAAGGGGGCTGTGGGCTGTGTAGAGGGGCACAAAGGGGGGAAGATGTGGACATCTGTAATAGTGTTAACAATAAAAACAAGAAAGAAAATGAATTCCATCACTACCCAGCAGTGAAGTTTCAGCAAGTGTGTTAAGCCCTCGGTTTACTCGCCTTGTGAAGATCAGCTATCTTTAAACTACTAATTGGTAGGTGGAAAAATTTCCCTTTTTTTAACAATACCTTACAAGGTTACAATATTCCCACAATCTGTGCAATGTTACAATGTCATCCAGCCCCGATATTTCAGATCTAGAGTAGTGTGGTTAAGGGAAAAGATTCCTATTACTGGCATTTTATAAATGTGGAAGCCAGGGAGTAATGGCCAAGAGGCAGATGTGCTGTTGACAAAGGGGGACAAGGGGGGATGTCATAACCCAGAATTCAGAAACAAGGGGAGTTAGGTTGCTCTCTAAGGTTATGCTACAATATCAGAGCAGAGATATCTAAAGTTATTTTCAGGAATAAGACTGCTTCCCCCATCTGTAAAACATCTAGTTTTGACTAAAGGTATTATAAAAGCTACAGACAGCCCTGGCTGGTGTGGCTCAGTGGATTGAGCACCGGCCTGCGAACCAAAGGGTCTCAGGTTCAATTTCCAGTGAGAGCACATGCCTGGGTCGTGGGCCAGGTCCCCAGTAGGGTTGTGCGAGAGGCAACCACACAATGGTGTTTCTCTCCCTCTCTTTCTCCCTCCCTTCCCCTCTCTAAAAGCATAAATAAATAAAATCTTTAACAAAAAAGCTACAGATAGAATTAGTCTGATAGAGGACGGTTGGTCACTCCTGGAATACAACCTGGCTAATACTCGACCAAGCACTTTCAAGGGACGAGTAAACATAGGCCTAGGGGTGTTGAATTTTTGTACTTTCAGTGGTTAAGCTTTTTGGCCTGCTGCCATCAGACACGTTAAACGACATGTGAACCAGATGTTAGCTCTCCCCACCCTCATCCGTTTCTGTGTTACCACATGCGACCGAATGTTTTTACTGTTGTCAGCCTGACTGTAGAAATGAACTCTCCTTCATATATGCACACATAGCCACAACACATTTTCTCACATTAGCGCCCTGTTTTGTGCAGTGGACAATGGGGTTGATGCCCCCATGTCCATGTCACTGCAGAGTCATTCATTGAAGCAAGTCAAGGTAATGCCATTCTTATTGTCAGTGACTAGTGCATGTTCGAATAACATTTAAAACGTTTTGTGGACGTTACCATGTTTCCACATCTTAAAAAGCCATTTGGCTGCCTCTCACATGCAAACTGATCAATCCAGGGCCTATGCCTGACCCTCGTTCCCCAGGACAATATCCCTCTGCCTTAATCAATCCCAGAGCCAGGTGTCAGGCAAGTAAGGACCACCCC